CGTCCTCCTCCTCCTCGCCCTCGCCCTCGCCTCCCTCCTTCCCTCCCCCTCGCCTGTCACCCCGTTGCCCTACGCCGCACACACTCACACACACACACACACGCGCGCGCGAATCCTGCGTTCTTTGATCCGCCGCGGGGCATGTACGATCCTGAGGGGCAACGACAGGGGGGACTGGCATATGCGGCATAAGGGGAGAGGCATCGACCTGCAAACGGCGATACATCCCCGATAGATTGGCGATAGGCCTCCGATAGCGAATCCGCACCTTCCCGGGCAGGTTTGGGCCATCGGGCCCCTATCGGCGATCAATGGGCGATCGGGGGTCGATGCATCCCCCCCTATGCCAATCCCCCCCTATCGTTGCCCCCGAGATCTACTGCATCGAGGGAGGCGTGCGTTTTCCAGACGCTTGCAAGTACTCTAGGTTTCTCCATCAGCGAGGGCGGTATTCCCCCCGACGGGGGTCAACCTCGCCTCGTCGTCGCGCCGCGACGGGGATCGGAGCGCCTTCGGCGCGCGCTGGCGGCCCTCGGCGGGGAGTCGATGTGGGGCTGTCGGCGGGAGCGACGCCTCCTCGGCGCTAATTCAGAACATCGGAGTAGGCACTTTGCTGACTACCTACCAAACCACCCCGACCCAACCTGAAGGCCCGAACTCGACCCGAATTTCGGGTTGGGCGGCGGGTACGGGTTCCGTGTGGTTTTTCAGGGTTCCCCCACCCCCCTCACACTGGAAATGGAGGGCAGGATACCGCTACTCCCCGGACCTCTCCCAGGGTGCGTTCTGACCAGGATTCCGAGGCGAATCCAGCGGTGGCGACGAGGGCCCCCCAGGAGGCCCAAAGAGGGGAGAACGGGCGAGGGGGCAGAGGTGTGGGTACCCTTTTCCTCCTCCGAGGGTCGGGGTAGTCTGGCGGGGCGGTGCTCTGCGAGTGGTGGGCCGCGCTCGGTGGCTCCCGCGCCTCCCCGCGGGCGCCAGGGCCCCCGTCGCGCGAGGCGGGCCGGGCCTGGCGACGAGGCTGCTGCCGACGGTGCCGCCCCTGCCCCCGAAGTACCTTGGCAGCACGGTGTTGCCCCCAGCCGACCTACATAGGGCGACGACATCTATACATATCCACTGCTCCCTGGCGAGGCCCATCCTGAACCCAGCAGCTGTGTATACGCTGCGCCCTCCTGGCGTGGCCAGGAGGGCGTATGCAGAACTCCTGGGTTCAGGATGGGCCTGGCCAGGGAGCAGTGGATATGTATAGATTTCGTCGCCCGACTACAGTCAACCAGTACAGTAAGGATGCGCGATAAAGATGCAAGGGCCTTGGACGCCCATTTCGAGGCTTTTCGAGCGGGGCGCGGCCAGCGAAAGCGGCGAAGGATGGACCGAGGAGGCAAGGATGCAAGGGTACCCTGGGGAAGGTTGCCCATCCTTACTATGCGGGTTGACTGTACGGGATTTGAAGACGACATCCCAAAAATGATTTCGAGCACCCAGAAACAGGATCGGAACCGTGTCGAAGGAGCATCGTGTCCCAGGGCCCGACACGCGGAAGCCCTCAAGAGTTTCGGTGCGCTCTCGGTGCTCGAAGGGTCTTTCTGGCGATCAAGGCCAAAGCAGGTTGGGACATCATAACCTTGGCAGGGGAAATGTCGACCCCTTAACGCGGGCTTCGTGGGGGTTCCAGATGGAGCAGAAATTCGAGGTCCAACCCTGGGATGTACACGTCGGTCGGAGGATGTGGGTAGAAACATGAAGTAGGAAGGCAGATCAAGTAGATTGGATACAGGCCCTCCAAGAGAATGGCAAAACACAGCAAAAGCGCTTCGATTCTTGAAGTGGAAAGGCGCCTGAAGTAGGTTGGGACCTGGGAATCCAGAAATACATTGTTTCACCGACCGACGGGTACGATGGGTGGGCGTCCATCCTCGATAATGGGTGCGGCGGAACAGCCCCCTAGGGGTGTATCCTAGGGATTCACCCTTTGTTCTGAACGGCCAAACTGTTCGGGTGGAGCTCGGGGATTGGGGGAGGAAACTCGCCTGCGAGACCTTGCCCTCCAAACTTGGGAGGCAGCTACTGGGAGGTCTTCGTCGCAGGAAAAGGGAAAGTAAGCCCCGCTGGGGGGGGCTGCTGCGCCGGCCGGATGAGACCGCGGACGAAGCGGGATTCAGCTTTACTGAAGGGGCCCTGGGACACACACACACACACACACACACACACACATCCGCCGGCCCCCTTGTGGGGCCACCAGGTTGTAGGCCGGAGGTTCGCAGTTTCCTGTACCAGTTGCTGCTTCCAGCTTCCACTGTTACAGTTCTGCTTCTTGCTGCTTCCTGTTCCTTGTTGATGGACCGCGAGAATGGGGGAGGCCCAAAACGAACATTTGTACCACGCCCTGAGCGTGTTGTCTGAATAGCTGGGGTGGGGAAAAAAAACACCACTCACGCAGAACGGCGGGGTCAGGGTCCAAAAACACTGGGGATGTGCCACATGTCTGAAAGTCGGAGGCATAACTCACGCAGATCCGTAGGGTCAGGGTGCAAAACACACAAAGAATTTGCCACATTCTAAAAAAATCGGTGGCACTCCTCACGCAGATCGGTGGGGTCAGGGTCCAAAAACACATGGGATATGCCACGATTGTAAAATTCGACTGCACCCCTCACGCAGATCGGCGGGATCAGGGTTCAAAAACACATAGGATATGCCACGTTTGTAAAATTCGATTGCACCCCTCACGCAGATCGGCTGGGTCAGGGTCCAAAAACACAAGGGATTTGCCACATTCTAAAAGTCAGCGGCACACCTCACGCAGATCGGCAGGGTCAGGGTCCCAAAACATATGGGATTTGACACATTTGTAAAATTCGATTGTACCCCTTACGCAGATCGGCGGGGTCAGGGTCCAAAAGCATAAGGGATTCTCAGCATGTCTGAAATTCCGTGGCACACCTCACGCAGATCGGCAGGGTCAGGGTCCCAAAACACAAGGGATTCTCAACATGTCTGAAATTCGGTGGCACACCTCACTCAGATCGGCAGGGTCAGGGTGCAAAAACACATGGGATTTGACACATGTGTAAAATTCGATTATACCCCTCACCCAGATCGGCGGGGTCAGGGTGCAAAAACACATGGGATTTGCCACATCTCTGAAATTCGGCGGCACCCCTCACGCAGATCGGCGGGGTCAGGGTCCCAAAACACAAGGGATTTGCCACATTCTAAAATTCAGCGGCACCCCTCACGCAGATCGGCGGGGTCAGGGTCCAAAAACACAAGGGATTTGCCACATTTTAAAATTCGGCAGCACCCCTCACGCAGATCGGCGGGGTCAGGGTGCAAACACACACGGGATGTGAACATTTCTGGCATTCGGCGGCACCCCTCATGCAGATCGGCGGTGTCAGGGTGCAAAAACACAAGGGATTCTCAACATGTCTGAAATTCGGTGGTACACCGGCAGGGTCAGGGTGCAAAAACACAAGGGATTGGCCACATTTTAAAATTCGGCAGCACCCCTCACGCAAATCGGCGAAAGTCAGGGTGCAAAAAAACACACGGGATGTGCAACATTTCTGGCATTCGGCGGCACCCCTCATGCAGATCGGCGGGGTCAGGGTGCAAAAACACAAGGGATTCTCAACATGTCTGAAATTCAGTGGCACACCTCACGCAGATCGGCAGGGTCAGGGTCCCAAAACACAGGAGATTTGCTACATGTCTGAAATTCAGTGGCACAGCTCACGCAGATCGGTAGGGTCAGGGTTCAAAAACACATGGGATTTGCCACATTTCTGAAATTCGGAGGCACAACTCATGCAGATCCGCAGGGTCAGGAAGCAAAAACACAAAGGATTTGCCACATTTCTGAAATTCGGTGGCACCCGTGACGCAGATCCGTAGGGTCAGGGTCGAAAAACAAACAGGTCCCGACACTGCTTCACGGCGGCGCCCAGATCTCATGATTTAGCTTTTGCATCTCCCATTATACGAGACAGGGGGCCGGCGGCATGGGGCGAAGCCCTTACGGAACAATAGACACAAATAATAGGATTCCCCATATTGTCCCATAATTTCTGGGTGTTTGTCTTCCCCCCACATCCCATATTTCCCAATATTTTCTGTGTGTTCACTTTCGACGAGTAGTTTTTTCCCCCCCCCCCCGGATATATCAAGTGGGATCGAGCCAGATTAGGCGGGACTTCGGACCAGGGCAAAGTCAGACTTTGAGCTCCCAGGAGCTGCACCCGAAGAGTGGGGGAGAACGATCGCCTGCGAGCCCTCGCACCCCCAATCGACGGCGAAGAAAGGGGAAGGGGAAGTGAGAAGCAGAGGGCCTTCTCAGAAGGCTCGGAAGTCCCCCGGCCTTCCGAGAAGTCTCCTGAGCCTTCCCCTGAGACGCAGACAACCTTTCAGAAGGCGTGAGGGCTTCTGCGAAGTCGCGCCGCCTTCGGGCCCATCGCTCGCCGCCGAAAATCGCCTGCGAGTCGTTGCCCCCGAAGTACCTCACGAGCTCCCTCTGGCAGTCCACGTGCGCGTTCACCGGCGAGCGAAATTAATCGAACCGGCGGAGATCGAAAGCTAGTAAGCGGCCTCCATTCAAAAATCGGAGCCCACACTGAAATCCGAAATCCGAAATCAGATCGGAATCGGAAGCCGTCGAAGTCGAATCGAATCGGAGCAACTGAACTGCGCCCTGCCTTGCCCCCGACCCAGACATCCGGCTGCTCCAATGTTTTCGATGCGTGGGCCCCAGAGGTCTGAAACAATTTTCCCAGGACCGCTTTTTCGTCCTGAGTCGCTTTTTGACGGTCCCGGGGCTCAGCGAGGGCCCCCGGAGGCCAAAAACGGCCAAGCATCGCCCTGTCCATTGTCTTTGAGAGCGTCGGATTTCTGGGAAAGTGCACCCTGCCTTGCCCCGAGGTACCTCACGAGCTCTCTCTGGCTGTCCACGTGCGCGTTCACCAGGGCCACCAGCAGCGTGACGGCCTGCATGCGCCTGCTCACGCAGATCTCAACCAGAAAGGACTCCCTGACTCTTTGAGAGGGGACCTATCAGACCAAACCGCACCGCACGGATCTGTTATCCCTGGTGCGAAGACGGGGACCTAAGTGAGGCCACGACTTCATCGTGTCAGTATGGTTAGGGGTGACTTGAAGGGGCCCAGGGACACACAATCAAATACAGACAAACTTCCCAGGATCCCCCCTATGTCTCGATGTGTTGTGCAGCTTCGTTCCCCCCCCACACACACACACACACACTTCCCATAGATTTCTGCATTTTCCTGGGAATCGACAATTCAATATGTCTTGCCTGAGTTTGCTCTCTCTTTTGTTTATTCTGCTTTGCACAGGAGTGCTTCTGTTCGGTTGAGGACTGCTGAGGATTGCTTCCCCCATCCCCTCCCTTCTCCTCCCCGCTCCCCCCTCCCTCCTCCCTTCCCCTCTGTCCTCCCTCCCCCATCCCATCTCCTCCCCCTCCCTCCTCCCTCCTCCTCTTGGGCAGGGACCGACCGTCCAGGCACCTCTATAGGCCTACCACGAAATTGTCTTAGAACCTACACATGTTCCATGAACAAAAACAATGTTCTTAGAACATTCACCCGATGTGCTAAAACAAGCCAGTCCCAGCCAGAAATGTTCTAAGAACAGTTCGTGGAAACCACCAGAGGTTCTTGGAACAGTCTTTCAGAGGCCTAAGGCACGCCAGGACGCTTCGCCACTGCTTGATCCTCCCTCCTCCCTCCTCCTGATGTTGCTCTTGTTCCTCGAAAACGAGGGAGGCACCGAGCGGCCGGCACGGCGAAAGGGAAGCCCAGAAAGCGAACGCGCCCCCAGCGGAGGGCGTGGCGACCCCTCCCCAGGAAGGCGTGGCGACCCCCTCCTCCTCCTCCTCCTCCTCCTCCTCCTCCTCCTCCTCCTCCTCCTCCTCCTCCTCCTCCCTCCTCCTCCTCCTCCTCCTTTTCCCCCTCCTCCTCCTCCTCCTCCTTCTACTCTTCCTCCTTCTCTTCCTCCTCTCTCT